GTGTACCTGGCTGCGGTGCTGGATTATCTGACCGCTGAGATCCTGGAGCTGGCTAGAAATGATTTATTACAAACCTCAAGTTATAAGAATTCTTTGTCTAGACAGTTTTTTAAAGTTTCTGTTTTGCTCTCCCTCTACAGCATAGCAAACTCCAGGTTTTCAGAGCTGAATGTAGCATATACAGAGCAGTTTTCAATTAGACTGTTTTTTAGACTGAATCAATCAATACAGTAAATAAGTCAATTTTATTAATGTAAGGAATAGCAAGTTACAACAAAACGAGAGTCCTAATACCATTTTTTCCCCCAGCTTTTTATTGTCATTACACTTTCAAAAGTACAGAGCAACAAATTAACTCTTTGCACTTAACCCATCCCCTTGAGGAGTCTTAATCAGGGACCCAGAGTGGCAGTCTGTGGGAGCGGGGCTTGAACTCAGAACCTCTGAATTCCAAGCATAATGCCCTAATCACTAGGCCACTACTCTGCGTACCTCAGTGCCTAATAAATTTCAACAAAACATATTCACACAATGTGTGTACTTACTCAATACACTAAACTAAATAAAAGATTTAGAAAAGGCCATCAGAAATCAACAAATATCTAGTAAGAAGTTTTTGCTGATTTAATTCTACAGGGCTTTAAGTAAAAAACATCTAAAGGTGTTTGTGCTCCAATTGTATGTTTTCTCTAGTATGGGAAAAGCTGAAATTGCTTGTAGTAGAGAGTGTACAGTCTTTTAAAATATTCGTAGGTCTGCTGAGATAGTGGGATGATGCAGTGTTGTCACGATTGGGCAGAGAGCAATCCCTGAGTTTTTCTGCATTGTGAATCACATGCTGCAGGGACAGTTTGCTGCCGTACAGCTCTTATTCCACAAAGACAAGGAGAACATAACCATGCTATGTTCTGCACAGTGGCTGAAAAAAACCAGCAGTGTAAAACAATTTTAACAGTCTTAGAAATTACAAATACTGCTCATCCCTCTTAACAATTGAAGTGGTGTTAGCAGTCCAGGAAAGAGATGTAAATAGTTACCTTTAAACTTAAAGGACTAGACTCATATCACTTTGACTATTTATCAGCAGTAGGAAAAAAATATATAATTGTTTTTCCTAAAATGCTTTTTTTCATTTTCTTTCTTCTAGCAATTTTGATCCAGAATCTCCCATAGATTTTGTTATATATTCAAAAGTGAATTTTTGTATTGTTTTCTAATTTAAGAAATGTTTTGTACACGCCTAATATTTTTGCTTGAATTTTACTTGTTTAATGTAAAAATAAGATTAAATAATATTTGCACTCCAGTGCTTGTGCTGACGAAAATACTTGTTTTGGGGTGTTTTTTCAACTAATTCATTATGGATACAAAAATGGATACAAAAAAAAGTTCTTGTTGCAGTTTACAAATACTTTTTGGTAGTCACAGGGATTTTGCAAAAACAGGGATTGGTCTTCTCACTTTCGATTTCTTCATTATGATGTGGGGCACAATTATTGTTCCAATTCTCCTAATTTTGCAAGCTTGTGACCTACGCACTCAAACCTTTAAGTGCACTTACTCCGTGTGCGCAATTTATATAGGAGCTTAGGGTTTAGGGTGAGTATTGAGACTGGGCCCAAGTGCTGCAGATCTCTGTTAATCATCCATTTTCTTTCTGGTGTGATGCAAAAAGGCAAAACCTAAAACATGCAGGACTGTGGAAATCTGCAAAGTATATCAAAAACCTTTAATGTTTTAGAAATATGTGTTGAAGAAAACAAAACATAAAACCATTATTTTTCTTGGAGCTACAAGCCCAACAGATCAAATCCACAACTAACGAGGTAATTTTTTCTCCCACATCCTTTTTAGCCTCTTTTGGTTTCAGTGTCATTAACTGCTTTATTTTTTCATGAAGATCTTTAATATGTTGTATTTAGATGTGGACTTTAGATACCTTAACAGGGACACTCACTTTCTAGTGAAAATGCACCATATTGGACCTTAGCCTAGTCTTTCCTACTACCGCTGAGCAAAGTCTCGTGCTGCTGTGCATGAGCTCTGGTAAACATCATCACTCTCATGGTCAATGTTTTGCAGCTCTTTCTGTTCACCTTGAGTCTGCCACACCCCAAATGTCAGTCAGTGACAAATGCTGTAGTCACAGAATGTAATGCATAATAAAATACCAGAAATGTGTTTACAAATCATATTATCATTATCAAAATGTTATTTTCCAGTCCTTCAGGGACAAGTTAAAGGTTTGTATCAACACCTCTGCAAGTTGTTTTGTACTGGCCTAAATCCCCCACACACCATTAAGAATAGCAGCTTTCTTTTGGGTTAACCAACTTCATCTTATTACTGCAGAATATGGACACTGTTGGTGGAAACTGTTGAGAGTGGCACAGATCTGCTGGATCACTTATCTCAAAACGGGCAAAGAAATGGTTTTATCTTTTGGCCAATCATGAATCAGCATTTGTTGTGTTTTGATTCTTTTTGAACCTCTGGCCTATAGATTGTTCTGACCTGTCTTTACTGCAGCATTAAATTTTGCTTTTTCAGTATGCTTGGCATCCAAGGCTTTTGGCTGAAGATAATTCAATGTGGTTTTTTTAACTGCCACACTGTTTGAGAAGTACTAGAGGTGACAAAGGAAAATCTTATTGTATTCCTCCAGACTTTAAAGAGATAACAGCTCCCTATTAGTTTTATCAAAACATTCCTTAGGCTTAGAGGGAGAGGTCCCAGACCAGAATATATAAGAAGCCTATGTTGTTTGCTCTTATTTTTCTCTTAAGGGATGTGAAAGCTAGAATCGAGAGCAGGGAGATATGGTCAGACTCCTCCAGATGGGGAAGAGGGGCTGTTCTGTAATCCTGACTTATATTTCAGTAAACATGATGCAAGTCCCTCATTATAATATGTACCCTCATCTGAATGATCAGGCTGTACTTTGTTGGTGTAGCAGATGAGTGACTTAGCATTGTGAAACAATTAAAAGCAACGTAGGCAGCAGTAACAGTTACTAGCTATATCTAAAGGGAGATAAAACTGCATGCGGTTTATTGACTTCTGGGTCAGGGGATCAGTTCTTGGCTACAATGATGCTGCATCATTCGCTGTGCAGGTAAATAGTCTGGGCTGCTATCTTGTCTATAGGTAATGCCATCTGTAAGGTGCCTGGGATGAAAGAGGGCAGCCACATCTCTGTAAAAGTCATAACATCTATATATATATATATATATATATATATATATATATATATATATATATATATATATATATATATATATATATATATATATATATATATATATATATATATTAGTGATAGATGTGGCAATCCCAAGGGACAGCAACATCAAGAAGAAAGAACACGAGAAGCTTGAGAAATACCAATGGCTGAAAGAGGAGCTAGAAAAGACGTGGAAAGTAAGTGCAGCAGTGGTGCCAGTGGTAATTGGAGCACTGGGGGCTGTGACCCCCAAACTGGGAGAGTGGCTACAGCAGGTTCCAGGTAAAACATCAGAGGTCTCTGTCCAGAAGAGCGCAGTCCTAGGAACAGCTAAGATACTGCGCAGAACCCTCAAACTCCCAGGCCTCTGGTAAAGGACCCGAGCTTGAGGATGACACATACCACCCCACGAGGGGCGAGAAAACAGATATATATATATATATATATATATATATATATATATATATATATATATATAAAAAATATCTACAGGCATGTCCCACTACTTTTAAATAGCCATGTCATCTGGATGCAAATATTAGTTTTTCTTTTTCTTTACATGATCAGTGGAACTTTTTTCTTGGCTTGGTGTTTCTGCAATGCAGAAATATAAAGAGAAGAGAAATCGATATTTTATTTATCTAATAAAGTGTGCACAAACACTTTGTACAGAAACATAACGCATATAAAACCTGGGTAAAACACAAATTGTATTACTTGAATATCATCTAATGCTTACAACCCCCATCCATGGTTTCACAAGTGGTCTGGCTGTTGACTCGGCCAAAGCTCTCTTTGGTCTTTTTGGCATAAAGTGCATTTTCAGCATAATATCGATATACCATTTCGATAATGTCTTTTTTTCTTCCTGTTAACAACACCATGGATGTTATGCTCTGCGGTTTTAGACAATATGCCATCATTAATATATTTATGTTACTTGCAGTATGAAATTAGAATGACTTTTGCCTTTGAAAATAACAAATGTGAGCTACAGACCTGAACAATATACAAAAGGAAACCATTTCTGGCCACAGACATAGTTTAATTCTTTTTTATTCTTAAATCAATAGAAAAATGGGGTTATTTCTTTTAATTTTGATAGGTTTACAGTTTCTTAGTGTTTTACAAAAACAATAAAGAAATTATATATATATATATATATATATATATATATATATATATATATATATATATATATATATATATATATATATATAAAACTTTGACAAAGAGTTCCATGGAGACCTTCAGAGTTTCAGAAGGTTATTCGGGTGGAAGCAAGAGGAGATACTGTCCTCAAACATAACCTTAAATTAACATTTTCTCTGAAATAAACATATATAATAACATTCCATCCATTGTTTGACTGAATCTGAAAAATAATTCGACTAGATGTTTGGTGATTGCTGACCCTTACAGCTCAATAACCCTACAAAGTGAGCAATCTCACTTCTCATTCATCACTGTTTGCTTGTGTTTCTAAAACACTTCACGCAGAGAATCCTCTGGCTGATGGGGCCTGAGCGCAATGGAAAAGAATGGCACAGAAGCAGCGGTGTGTTTGCTTGTCTTTCTCCACGCATACAGCACAAAGCTGTAGCATCCCCGCAACACCAGGTGCAGCGGAGCAAAGCCCTACAACGTGGATGCGATACGGGGAAGGAGGGAGGCAGGCAGGGAGGGGGCGTTGTCGCTGGAGGCAGATGAGAAAGAGAGAGAGGGAAGAGTGTGGCTTGGAAAAGTGGCAGGATTTTAAGAGATATTCTGTCAGACATGCGCAGCAACAGCAGCTTCTCCAGCTCTGCGCCGCGTTTCCGCCTTGGCTGAGCCAAACGCGGCGCACACTGTCCGAGAGGGGCGGGGAGTAAAAAACAGAGACGCAGTGGTGGTGGAGCTGGGACGCAGTGAGAACGGATTCGAGCAAATTATACGCCAACCTCCACTGTTATCCTCCCCCTTAGAGAGGCGACCTGTGCGCTGCGCCTTCCCAGCATGGACACTGCGCTAAAGGAGATGCTCTATGATATGACGCTCACAGGGGAAATCAGGGGAGACAGAGCGCGCGGGTGCGCGCGCGAGTAAGAAAGTGGGCTGCACTCATCTTTCTTTCTTTTTTTTTTTTTGCGGGTGATTTCAAATCTGAGCTGCGCGGCGTGAAGATGAAGAAGTTCAACATCAGGAAGGTGCTGGACGGTTTGAAAGAGGCGTCTTCCTCCTCCTCCTCTTCCTCCTCCACGCCGTCTGTCCAAGTAGGGCCCCAGGAGAACAACCTGATCCAGGAGACTCTTCAATCCGAGCATTTCCAGCTCTGCAAGGTGGGGGAGACTTAGATTCCTCTCAGTTCGCTGGGACTCCACTTAACCCATCCTCTATGCCTGTTCAATTCTTGTTTGGTTCCCTCTCATCCCATTTCAGGATGCATACGATGCAACAAAGCTGCAAATAATTAAATAATTACTAGGACAAAAAGGAAATCCTTTGTTCTTTTAAGTCTTCATCTCAACTATTTTTAGGTTTAAAAGCAGATAATGCGGATCTTTGAAGCGTTTTGTGATTATTTCTTTTGTTTTTTTTAAGCACTAATTAAGGCCAGCTACTTCAGTAAAGAAACAGACAGGCCAAATCAGTTTTGTTTTGGTTGCATTTTGTAACCTTTTTCCAATCTGGTCACAGTATGGTGGCATGCGTTTGTACACTCTGTGCAAAATGCCAGAGTTTGCTATGTGTGCGCATGGCCTGAGCTGTCATATCGAGGGGCTGGGCACAACTGATCCTTTCTTGCATAATCTGATGGTTTTGGATTAGCAAAATGCTTGTCATGTATTTGTGCCTTACCCTTACATTTTTACCCCATGCTCACATTTTCCTCAACTCCTCTCCTTCATCCATTCATACACACATTAAAAAAACATCCCCAGGCTCTTTGTCCTGCAGGGTATAATATTACCTAAAGTGACTTGCAACCTATTTAGAGGAAATAAAAGTAATAAAAATGTCTGTCTCCCTCCATCTAGACTGCACAGATTAATGACAGAGAAGATAATTACATGCATTCTATGCTAAATATCAGCCCATTGTGAAGTTACTCTAGCATTTCCCCTGTTATTCTTTAATGACGAGGTGTGGAGTTAATAAACCGCACTGTGTGTTGGATATCGATTTCCCCCACACTTCTGACCCATGTGGTTGCTAAAGAATCCATTCAGGATTTTAGACTGTTCTGACTATATTAATGCCTCAAATACACACAGATGCAAATATATGTGTACAGCTGGTAAAGTTTGTAAGTTCTAATTGAACCACTATCATTCTTTCCAGCTTGTAATCTGCGGAAATCAAAAATATTAAGACTTAATAAAATGTTCTTAAAGTATCAATGTAAACAAGATGCAAATTTTATTTGACGGAAACCTTTATCCCTCTTTCTTTCTAATACATACACAATTTCCAAATTGTTTAGATCAAGTTTTTTGTTTCATCAACAGCTTTAACATATTTATATTACCACATGACGGAAGCATCAGTTTTAAATACCAAAAGCTGACCCCTCATGTTATAATTTCAACTGGAACGCTTGAATAAATTTTGTTACCTGAGTTGCCTAGATGAAGTAAACTTTGACCTTTCAAAATGGCGGAGAGCAGGGAAACTATTCAGTATGAGTACTACATTGTTAAATATTGTCCCTTTGTGGTGTTTGTAGCCTGCACAATACAGAAATATACGTTTATTTATGCGTTATCGTCATTTAAAGTTGTGTTGGTTGTAAAATAACCTTTGATGTTTGGTTTGATCTGATCAGGCTAGCAGTCGGTCGAGGATAGCAGCCAGAGGGTACCGTGCAAGCTGTGTTCTGATGTAGACAATTTCCTCATTTGATCTGTAGTGTACGCCAGTGAGCGCATGATTTACTGGAACCAGGAGATGAGCCTATATCTGTTTTGCCCTAGTGGCAGGTCAGAATAATCTGTGGATTCACCATGTTCCTCTTCTCTACCACAATAAAAGCAGTTGAACGTAATGTGCTGTTAATTTCCACTTTACAACTAGAAAGAATCATTTTTACCAGACCACATGTAGGCAGCATTAATTACAAAGGAAATATGAGAAGTCCTTTAATGTATGGAGTAGTATTAAATCTATCCTTCAAGAAAATCCTAACTTATTATTTTTTTTTTTCAGTAACAAAATGCAGATTACCGTCTGAAGAAAGGTGACTCACAAAAGCAACGCTAAAGAATTTGGGTGTGTACAGATTTTGCAAAATAATTAAGAAAAAAAAAATCAAGTAGAAAATTAAATCCCCATAAATCTTTCCACAGCTTTGAGAGGACCATGAAGCAAAGCCCAGTTGCGGGTTTTAGTGTAGGGTGACCAAACGTCCGTATTTCCCGGGACATATCCGTATTTCACGTCCTGTCCCGGGCGTCCCGGGTTTTTTTTAGAAAGTGAGGAAATGTCCTGATTTCACTGCGCACGACGCTCCGTGTGACGTAATCCCTGAGCCGCGTCAGTGCGGGCAGCCCTGCTCTTAATCAGAGGCTCTGTTCGAAAAAACCTGGGGTGCATCCTCCAAGGACGCGGTCTACCTAGACTGGATCCTTCGAAGTCCTTGAAAATAAGGAGGCCGGAAGAGTTCTGTCTGTAAATTCGAACAGGTCCTCCCTTCGGCGGGTTTTACCGGCGTATGCTCTGTTGCTTAGCAACCGTGAAAGTTGACACACAAAGCAGGAAAGGAATGAATACCGAGGTTTTCCAAACTGTTTGTTTATTGATTTATTTTTTAAAGCTTTTGTAAAGTTAAAGCAAACAAAGACTACACTCACAAGAATCCAGAATGGAATAAATGTTCCAACCACCGGGAGCAGGAACAAATCAAATCAAATGTAATGATAGAAACCTTAGTCAGTTAAATAACCTGCTGCTGTCATTCTGCACATCTCTGATGTTGCTGCTATTTTCAAATATCCAATACTGTAAAAATGTCCATAGCTGCATATTGGTTATTTATTCTCCAGTTTTATATTGTTAAAACACTTTACAGTAGCCTATTTTATTGTTTATATTTTAACTCTTCCCTATATGTTATTCTTATACATTTTTCTAAGGTCCACATTTGTGAGACCATTTTCAATAATCTTTCTGCTGCTGTAAATTTGCCCATTGTGGGACAATAAAGGGATTTTCTATACTATAAAAGGGTTAGAAATACATAAGTAAATCTAAACAATGTATGTATAAAAATATATCTGCAAAATCTCTAATATTCAACAACAAAAAATACTTAGTTAAGCATATTGTGCAAAGCAACAATAAAAAAATTAAACTCCTATCAGATTTATAGTCCCCACTTTGCAGATCTATTAGAATCTGTCCTTAAATTACAGCCAAACTCATTTACACAGTAACAGATAAAAACCTTTAGATAAATCAAACATTACCGCCACATATCTGACTCAATAACCATTAAAACAACTATTTTCATTAATTTCAGACGGAACTATTCACAGAGTTGTATTATTTTAAACTGAACTTCCAATTTTCACCACTGTTCTGCGCCAAGTAACATTTCGTCTGATCACGGAGAAAATCCCGATGATGAGACATTTGTTCTTTCAAACAACCCCCCCCCTGCTCCAAGGTGTCCTGGTTTTCCCAAATGAAAAGATGGTCACCCTATTTTAGTGAGATTTCCACACTGGGAAGTCCGGGCCTTGGGCTACAGCTGTTACATTTCTTTTGTTTATCCATAAAAATGAGTTTCACTTTCAAATTTGAATTACTAATATAATTTATTTTAAAGATTGATATATTCATACATCTCAACTCAATATACACAAGGCTACCTGTGTTGGTGTCTGTCTGATAAGCTATGGGATCAGAATTAAGGGATTTTGAGACTCATGAATAACGTTCCCTTCTGTTCTTCTAGGAATTTAAATCGCTGTCTGAATGTGCTGTTGCTAATCTGTAAAAATCAAGCGGTCTTAATTCTTAAAAGATACACGTCTATCTTTAGAGTTAGGTCAACCAATGTGAGAATCATGACAGCTTAAATCTTTTGTAGACACAGCAGTATAAGTATGCAACCCCCCAAACCCCACCAAAAAAAAACAAAAAAAACAGCTTGGCATCTGATTAAAGCATCTTCCAATCATTTGCACCTTTCCTGTCTGCCTAGACCAGAACTATCTTTAATGTTTCCCTGCAAGAGAAGCAGGTGTCTCTGCTGCACTGAGTCCTCGTTATGTAACATCTTTTAGCCGTCTGCCACAAAGCAAACAAATCCAGGGGCCCGCTGATGCCTGACTGACTGCTAGAAAAAAAAAATCAGACATACATCAATAGAAGAACACTTTTTTTAAGTGTCATACAAGCTAGATCATGTGTAAATGCACTTTATTGTTGTACTTTATTTCCTTACTTCTCTGTAATCACGACTTCATGTGGGAGGCGTGGAAAGGAAAAGGACAACAACATAAAACAAGAAAGGAGGAATAAGATTTCTGAAAATAGGCATTTGATTTGGAAAAGGAGGCCAGAATATTATTTTTTTTTAACCAAAGACAAAGCCAGACAGAGAAAAAATATCTACTCCTTATCCTGTCTCGTTTTCTCCATAATTTGCCATTTTAAGCTTAAATTTCAGTTTCATAACAGCCATCCACATCCATCTGGGCTATTTATTTACTGAAATCAGGTGTGCGACATCCTCTGTCAAAACAACCCCCCTGCTGTGAAATGCAAATTGATATTTTCAGTTATGAAATCTGACTTTTTTCCATTCTCTCTGTCTTCTATCTGCTCATCACACCAGACTGTTCGTCATGGCTTCCCCTATCAGCCGTCATCCATGGCTTTCGATCCCGTGCAAAAGATCCTGGCCATCGGTACCCAGAGTGGAGCTCTCAGATTGTATCCTTTCATTTTGAGCTATTGCAGGAAGCTTTGCCCTGAGGCGCCAAAAGGTAAGTGAGCTAACATTCGAGCCTGAGGTTGATGGACAGCAGCACCATGCAAGAGTCTTGAGTAGGCATTTATTTTTATGTAATATGCTTTATAGGGGTGATTTTTTGCTAAAATCAAAAGTGGTCTTGAGCAGTACAGTAGTTCAGACTTTCTGAAGTTCAAATTTTTTTCTCATCTCCTTTAGGTTGTATCTTTACTATTAACCATGTTCATTTAACTTGTACTAGTTTCCAATTTAATATCTGTGTGTATATCTTTTTCCTATCCTACAATACCACATTCTTTTTTGTGTTGCAAACTCTAACATCACTGTGTTTTTATCAATTGTTTTTTTTTTTTGGCTTGCATGACCTTTATTTTTTAGCAGTATGCAGTACTGGGAAAGAGAGAAAATGAGATGACGTGCTGCAGAGGGTGTCGGGGTAGGGAATTGTACACCTGGATTGCAGGGTTAGCCTCTCCATATGGCTGTACCCTAACTCTAGTAACTCTAACTCTACGATAAGCCAATATAACTTTGTGTTCTTTGGGATTTTAATTGGTAGATTGGCACATTTTTTTGTTTCTAAAATGTTGAAAAGTATAAACAGAACAATGTATGGTGTGGTTTCAGTTGCTAGAATCAAGTCTGGCCAGCTTCCCTGACCCTTCTGGTGAAAAACATTCCCACAGCATGATGCTGCCATGTTGTTATACAGCAGGGATGATGTTTTATAGGATGATTAAACATTGTCTTGTTTGACCAGAACACCTTCAACATGTTGATATTATCTGCCTGGGTTGTGCAAAACCTTAAATGGGATTCTTATGGCCTCCCTTTTACAGTTGGTTTCTGCTTGTCGTTTTCAGGAAGGTCAGTTCTGCTGACCTAATGACAAATAGATAAGTCTAATTCTCTGATTTTTCTTCTTGCTGGGAGAGCATTGTAGGTTTACCCCTTTTATTTACAGTTCTCAATAATGAAAGCATGTAGTGTGATTTTTAAAACGTAATTTTTCTTTAAAATTGTCCAAAACTTTACCGCTCCATCTTCCTTCCTCTTTACGACTATGCACAACTTTGTGTTGGGGAATTACATAAAATGCTAATGAAATAAAAGTTTATGATATAGTTAATGGCAGTGTTTTCCCCTTTTTCTGGCTTTGTTTGAGCAGCTCTGTTAAGCACCTGATACACCTTTAGATCTCATTTATGGGCGGATTGTAAGTCTGCAGTCATTCAGATGTCTTATGACATGATGATGATGATGATAAAAGCGCATTTTAATAATTAAGGCACTCTTTTGCTAACCTTTTAATGGTCTCTAGTTGACTGTTTTTTTAACATTTCAATATCTGACTCCCATCGACAATGTCCAGCGAATCACCACAATTTCACCGCTGTCTTGCAATATGAGGACATTTATGCAAGCAGAAACAACAGCTTTCCATAAAATGACACCGTGGGGAGTCGTATAGCTTCAGAGAACGCCCGCGAGCTTGCCTGTGTAAGGCCTCCTTTACAGCTCCTCCATGTGTTCCTCTGCCTGTCCAACAGCCATTGCCAGCTCATTACAGTGTGATGAAGAGCCGTCCGCCTTGTTGCTTCTTCTTTCCTACCTGCTGGCAGCCATGCCTGTGACTCAGTCCTCACCTATGTTGCAAATGGGAGGATCAATTACAAAGATTCTCTAGGTTTACAGTTTTTGTTACAAAAACAGCGTAACATAACCAGAGCATATTTACATGTCTATTAGCCGACAGGCGAGGAAATTCCTCCTATGGTAAAAGTCTGTGCTGGTGGATTTGCTGAAACAGGGACGCTTCCTAGGATAAGCAAAAATGGCTGTAAGTAAGATGTCCGACTTCAATCAGCTTAGAGATAAATCATCCTAAGTAGGGATCCTGATGGGGAAAGTGGTCACTTTGAAATCCAACGAATCTCTCGAATTTGACTGATGTAGATCTGATAAAACTATCTGAACCACATCAGGGGAAAAAGGGGAGTCATACAGTATCTGTTCCTTGGCGTGCGTCATCCTCCTCCTACATTGTTCTGATGTTTAGTCAGCTCTGTATCTTTATCTGATGCCACGGTGACATTGAAGAAAGGATTTAATGACGGCTTCACGTCTCATAAATTCTGCATTGCTGTATGTTTTGTTATTAGAGGTGTTGTAGTCTTGGCTGGTTGCACTCCCTCGAGGGATTCCTTTGTTTTATGTGGATTTTTTTTGCCTGGGTGACCTCTCAGACATTTGTTTTCTCCCTTTGGAGCACTTATAGCAGACACAGATGAGAAGCCTTAGCCTGGTAGAGCAGGAATGAGCTGAGAATTACATGAGAAGCCAACATGTACCCTCTGAGGAGTGGCCTGATCTGTCCACGCCACAAAGCCAACGGCAGCTTTGTTGTTCATCCATGTTCCCATGTTTGATGCTTGCCTCTGCATCTGGTTCATTCTTCGTCATCCAGCTGGAAAATCAACTGGTCAGTGAGAGAACCTAGGGTTGAGCTCAAGGCAAGTTAAGAGGAAGAGAAGAGAGTAGAAAAAAAAGGGGGCTGGGGGAGGCAGGCTATCCCTTTTTCACAAGCTAATGGCCAAGAATAGAATCCTTATTGATCTATGTGTGGTAATGCACTGAGTCAGATATGCCGAAGTGCATACACAACTTTATCACTCGCTCCCTCTTGCACACACTTAGAGTCAATTGTTTTCTCCACACTATATCTGCAGTAAAAACAAGTCATGAGTCTTGGAAAATGGGTTCTGCTGCACAAGCAGTCTAACTAATATAAGCTATGCACCAGTTTAACCGTAAACAACAAAAAATAAATGACCAGGAATGCAGTATGTTCCAGGGCTATGTAGTGAGACCTTCCATCTTATTGGTTATTCGTCTGTTATTTGGTATTTTTACCAAAATGAACAAAACTCTCTCTGAAACTGAGTAAATGCAACATACTTAAGAAATATAAGAAATTCCCAGAAAGAAGTAGCTCATTTAAAGAGGTCATAGAATGATTATATAGGGCGGCGGTCTTTAACAGGGGGTCCGCGACCCCTAGAGGGTCCACAAAGGTACTGCGTGGGGGTCGCAAAAGTTTGGTTGATTAGGCTTTTTTGTTTTATATTCCCCTTTGCATTTTTTTTCCACTAATTGAAATGTCTTTAAATACACATTAACATGAATTCAACACACTGTAGTAAACAGATAAATGGAGGCAGAAGATGTCTTTCAGTCATCAATGCACACATTCAGCAACACACAGGAGCTCTTTCAAGCTGGGCACCGTTCAATTCACAACACCTGTCCCATTAACGAGGAATCTGAATCAAAAATACTTTGATAATCTCAGGGAGAAATTACTTTCGTTACATGACTCCATATGTAATAGAGTGACTATAGGACCAGTTTGACAACACAATATCATACATTATATATAATTAGGTGGTCCCCGCTCCATCTCGCCATCAGTTTGGGGGTCCTTGGCCTGAAAAAAGGTTGAAGACCCCCTGATATAGGGTATGTGGCGCTGGTCCTTACGATCTCTGAATAGGGTGTGTAACATTAGTTGGGCTGAAAAGGGCACATTTGCTGTTCTATGAGCCCTAATGCAAGCCTGGTTAAGAGCCCCAGAATTAAACGTTTTCTTCCTTTTGTGGTATGATCATGAATATTTAGATGAGCTGTGCGCTGATTGGTTTACAAGTGAAGCCGCTGAGCAAAGACGCATCATAGCAACAAGCACTCACTCACTGAAAAAATCTAATTGTTCATATGGTAGGGTGATTAGACGTCCTCTTTTTTGAAATTCTGGGGGGAATTTCAAAATCGTCCGGGATTTTGGTCGACTACAGTGCAGCAGACCGAGGCGTGAGATCCAAGATTGCCTGCCCAAAGTAATGCTACATTCACACCGCAAGCGGCAAGAGCAGCAAAAACGCGCTTGCTGCTTCATTTTTGATGCTTGTACAAGTTTAGTTCATACGCGCGGCTAAAGGAGCTTTGCTGCTCTGCCTGTGCCGTGGAAAAGTGGGTTTGATGCGCGTTGGGTGGAGCTACCCTATCATTTATTTGCCTGTAACAATGGCAGCTATATTTGCTATTATCAATGGGTAAAAAATAATTTGAATATGTTTTTCAGTGAGAAAGTCCACCTAAAAACTTAATCTGTGCAGTCAGTTCATCCAGATTACCATCCTGCCTTTAAACATTATTTTGCTGTGGGAGCCGCTCAGACCCCCACATACCAGCAGTGCGCTGTCAGTAGGAATCCCATTCAACAGCAGTCTCTGGCCCGGTCGTTTGTTCGCGGTTTGCCGTGGCGGCTGAAGGGCGGTTTTCATGTACGTAATCCAAACTGAAGGCACCAGGATATTAAAGTGAACATGTTTTGCCGGGCAGATTTCGGCATTTTAAGTTAATTTATTAGTTAATAAACTGTTTCAGAGGAGTAATCATATTGATTTGTATCATCAGTGATGTGTCTGTCTCCCTGCCAGCTCCCAGATCATCTTCTCTGATTGGTTGATTTGGAGCGTCGAGCAGCAAAAGTTCAATTTTTCCAACTCCAGCAGCTGCTGCGTTTGCAGCGCGTCCCGCGCGTCAGATGCTCGGAACCTCACAACGCACTGCTCCTGAGATCCTTTCTTATAATTACGAGATACGGATCTCGTAATTATAAGGATCCTGATCTCAATATTATGACATATTATCTCATAATTATGAGATTGTTATCTCGTAATTATGAGATAATATTTCATACTTAGAAGATCAGGAAGGACAGTTATTGCTTAGCTATGCTACATGAAACTTCAACAATGATTGGGTTGTCGGATTTAATATGCTTTTATATCCTTTTAGCTATGTCACACTGTGAAACACAGAATTTCCTCAATGTGGATGGAATTAGTTTTAGTTTGTCAGCATTGCGCAGGTACTTTAAGTCCTTAGGATTATTTAG